CACATTCATAAGTGTGCTTGCAGCAAAGGTAAAGAAATGTATGCTTTTTTTAAGTCACTACATGTGTGGCAGTTTCTTATACACTATATAAAACTAATAAAAAAATTGACACTTAGAAGTGGGGTGCTACACTAACTGCTGAAGCACTTTAGAATTGGTCAGGGAGTAGAGGATGAAAGAATTTTGAAGAGTATAAAGAAAAAGTCTAGATTGCCTTCTCCAGACAATGGAAATATGAATCTACAGGGTGCCGTCAAGGAAATGAGACACATATTACTGGAAGCAGGAAAAAGGAGTATCTTTGTATTGTAGAAGAAGGAGCTGCACAATTAATTCTTATAATTTGTGAAACAAACTTGTAAGAAATAAAGTTGGTTATATACAGCAGGAGATTTCCAAGCAAAATCCCTTTATTTTTTTTCCTTGCTGCTTATAGTAAAATGTTAGAGAAAAGAAAGAAAATGAAGGAAGAACTGTTAAGTAAAAACAAAAAAGAACCAGGATTGAATGATTAAGAAAATTCTCAGTCTCTCTAGATGGAAAAAGATGGTAAAATGAAGGGATTCACTTTCAGGAACGTACACTCTAGCAAAAAGGCCAAGAATAGGCCATACAACATTTGGTTAAACCTCAGAATTTCAATGACATAAGGTCCCTTTCAAGAAATTAAGAGAATGTCTTAGAGACCCTGTCAATCAAACCAGAAGGCCTGTAGCAGTATGAAGGCTGCTACCCAGCAGCCATCTCAGCAGGAGACCAAAATCGAGGAGGAATTATCTCAAATAATTTGTGGGTATGGCTTTTGTCTAATGGTATATTGTTCTTGTTAAGTGCCATACGGTCAGTTCGGACTCATAGCAACTCTGCATAGGGTTTCTGAGAAGTGGCTGGTGGATTTCAACCACCAGCCTTACAGTTCATTTTGACCTTGCCATCCAGTGCTTATCCTACAGCGCCACACCAGGACTCTTATTCCCATGAAATTCACAAAAGACCTACAAGATTGCTGAGAAAATTGTTTCAGCAGAAATACTACCAGCTCTGATCAATAGGTAAAAAAGAGGCTATCAGGCCGCGAAAACTCTACTGTGAGTAGGCTGATAAAACTACTCAGCCACAAGCACATACTACCTTTCATGAAAAAATGATGTCTCAGAGGATGAAACCAAGACCAGAGTCCAGAAATATTCCCCAGATTTGCAATCCAATTAAACAAACAAAAAAAACACTCCAACTGGTGTTTGTCAACTACATAACAGAACTTCCATGGACTGCGTCCATTTTCCTCCCTTTTGAGCAAAAATCTATAGCTGTCATCCTATGCCTATCCCACAATTGTATGCTAGATATCTAAGGACAGACAGCTTGTTTTTTTAGATCAACAAATGGAGAATCATGACCCAGGAGTTGCACTTGGAAACCTCTTCTTGCACCTGGATCTGAATTAGATGAGGAGATTTGGGAATTTGAGCTAATGAGATGAACTAGAGACATACAGCTGAAATGTACCACTGGGGATCAAAAGGTAACTGCTACATACTTATTTTAGAATAGCCTCCAAGATTCTCCCCTTCCCGAGTAGTCACTCCTTTTTGTAATCCTTTACCTTGAGTGTGAGTAGGACACATGACCTGGTTCTAACCAAAAGAATATGGCAAAGAAGACAGCACTTATGTGATTATGGTGTATTGTGCAGCAAAGATGAAGGCATTTGGAGAACTAACTTTGAGTTAATCAAAAATTTGGTTAGAAAACTTTGAAAGTAACTTTTCTAGAAAATGACAATCTAATTTTCATATGTAGAAGCTTCTGATTATCTCCAGCCAAAGAAGGTTGCCAATCACCTTCAAAAAGGGGGAGATGTACACTAGTCGAAGGCATGTGGAAGTAGAAGTAACAACACTACCAGAAGCAGAGTAGTGGTGGAATTGCTGCAATATGCAAAAAACAATAGAACTCTGGCTAGCGGTCAAGCACTGCATCTTTCTTAAGGACTCCAATTTTTATCCTAAGTTTTTGAAATAAAGAGTATTCAAAAGTCAAAAACTACGTTACTATCTCAAACAGGGAGCCCTGGTGTGGCACTGTAGGATAAGCACAGGACTGCCAACTGCAAAGTCAGTCGTTCAAATCCACCAGACACTCCTGGGAAACACTAAACAACAACAACAACATCTCAAACACACTGGTGGGAAAAGTAGTGTTGAACAACCACTTTGCGGTGACTTTCATTAGAGATAAAGTAACAATAAAGAAATAAGAAATAGCCTCTTTTTGAGGATCTCAAAACTAATACTAATGACGAGATAAAGGAGTATAAAGTTAGAGTGAATTTGCTGAGAGGTTGTTCTCAATACTGAAAAGCAAATACAAATCAAAAGATAAAAACAAGAAAAAATAATATAGGTGAAGTATACCTTTCACAAAATAATATTCTGTCCTCAGGAAGACAAGTGTTTTTAAAAAATAAATAGAGACAAATGTGAAATTAAAATAGAAAGAGCTGTGTAACAGCAGAGAGTCTAATCACAGAATTCTAGAATGGAACAGCCAGACGACCATACTGACTGAAAAAAGAAGGCAACCCCTATTTAATAATATTTTCGAAGCTATACTACAAAAGATATGAGAGAATGAATTATAGTTAAATGTCTAAAAAAGGAGGGAAAAAAATCTGGCATTGATGGATAAATGATGGAAATATTTTTAGAAACTTTACAACAAAAACACACTTTATTTTGACTTATAAAATGGAAAAGCATATGGGATCTTTTCCCCAAAGAAAACCATAAATTGAAAAACAGGTTATTGACAATGACTGAGAAAAAGAATTAAGGAAGATGCATGGTAGTTTAACGTCACAGATATTTGGTTTGACACAAATGTAAAAGGTTCCAGAAACTGGAAAGACAAACAATAGGCAGAAAAGAACTTTATTTAGGGAATATTAACACAACTTTTTCAGTTGCCTCATATGCATATGAAAGTTAGGCAATGAATAAGGCAGACCATAGGAGAATCGATGCATTTGAATTACAATGTTGGAGAATGATATCAAACGTAACATTAATGACATATTGTTGCCAGAAGAACAAACAAATCTATTTTGGAAGAAGTACAACCAGAATGCTCCTTAGAAGCCAGCATGGCAAGACTTCGTCTCTCATACCTCAGAGTGAAAGGTCAGGAAAAAAGAGGAAGACCCCCAACAGGATGGACTGACACAGTGGCAGCAGAAATGGGCTCAAACGTAACAACAATTGTGAGGATGGTGCAGAACCAGGCATTCGTGTAAGACTGCAATGAGTCGGAACAAACTCGATGGCACTAACAACACAGCTTTTAACACAAAGGAGATCTGGTGGCACAATGGATAAGTATGTAGCTTCTAACTGAAAGGTCTACAGTATGAACCCATTAGCTGTTCCATGAGAGAAAGACCTATTTACAACCTTGGAAACCTTATGAGACAGTTTTACCCTTTCCTAGGAGTCCTGGTGTGTCACTGTGAGCTAATGCAGTCAACTGCAAATTCGATTTAATCCGCAAGGCTGGAAGTTCAAGCTCACCAGCCACTCTTTGGAAACCCTATACAAGTTCACAATGAGTTGGAACTGACTTCACGGCACTTAACATTAGGTCACTATGAGTCAGAATCAACTCAAGGGCAACAGGTTTATTTATTTTTTTAACATAAATATTGCATATTTGTATAGAAAAGTGTTATTACAGTTTTACAAAATACCCATGGATACACTGCTGTGTACCGTAACTTTATGGTTAAGCACTTGGCTACTAACCAAAACATCAGTAGTTCAAACCCATCATCGATCGCTTAACAGAAGAGAACACCTGGCGATCTGCTCCCTAAACATTACAGCCTAGGAAACCTTAGGGAGGCAGTTCTACTCTATCCTATAGGATCACGATGAGTAAGAATCATCTCGATGACACACATGATTACACAAAAGCTATGAGAAAGAGGCAAATTCTTAGTAATCTAGTTAATGCATTGTTGTTGCTTTTGAGAAGGTTCCAATTCATAGCGACCCTATGTACAACAGAATAAAACATTGCCCAGTCCTATGCCATCTTCTGGAGTTCTGGTGTGGCGCTGCAGGTTAATGCACTGGACTGCAGAGTTGGTTTGAACTGCAAAGCAAGTGGCTCAAGCTCACCACCCTCTCCTTGGAAATCCTATACTGGGTCATTGAGTTGGAACCAACTCAACTACACTTAACAATAACAAATGCCATCTTAATAATCATTCCTATGTTTGAGTCCATGGTTGCAGCCACTGTGACAATCCATTTCATTGAGGGTCTTCTTTTTCCATGACTCACTCCCCACCCCCACCTCCTTCTCCAGGGACTGGTTCCTCCTAATAACAATTTCAAAGTACAGCAAATGAAATCTTGCCTTCCTCACTTCTAAGGAGCATTCTAGCTGTTTCCTCAAATGCCTATTTATTAGTTCTTCTGGCAGTCTGTGATATATTCAAAATTCTTGACCAACACCATAATTCAAATAAATGAATTCCTCTTCAATCTTTGTTCAGCTTTCACATACATATAAGGTAATATGTGTCTTAGTCCTTAAGGTGACATTTGTTTTTAACACTTTAAAAGGAGTTTTTTGTTGTTGTTGTTGTTGGTTTTTTTTGCAGCAGCAGCAGCAGCAGCAGATTAGATAATACATTAGAACACCTATTTCCACCATTTCTACCACCACATTATTCCCTCTGCTTCAAGGGATTAAAGTTCCAGGAACCACTATGATTCCTGTTTTGATTCTAATAATCCTGCTATTGTAATCATTTCTGTAAACATTTACTCACAAAATCACAACTTTCATGCACATACCTGTATCTTCAAATCGTCAAATCTAATAAACCATTTATCAATCCATTAGCAATATAAATCCAAGCTTATGTTAAACCTTTATTTAAAAAAGACATGCATCTCTGGTACATACAAATACCTAAGAAAAGACATACTTACTTTTACTGTAGCAGGTAGCTAGGACTCCTTTGTCTGCTGGACTGGCACTAATGTGCCAAATTTCACCCACTTGATGAAGGAGAACATTTTTATTTATAATGTTATTTTCATCATCAAAATCTATGATGTGGATCTACAAATACAATAAAATAACACATCAGGACCTCAAATACTTTCCACAGTACCTTAATTATTTAATTTTAATGGTTAAAAATATTTTATAACATTTAAAATTATTATTCTTATTAAAATTAACAGTGTAAATTTCATTCTCATTACACGCCTCTCAAAAGACAAAGGTATGAAGCTCCTGTAGGGTAACAAACACTGCTTTCTGCATAGGCAGTCTTAAATGAGAAAACACAGGCTGTATTGCCAAGTAGCTAGGTTAGTCCATCACTGGTGTTAGTGCTACAGTTTTCCAGGGTTGTCCATAAAGCAAAAACCTTTTAGTACTGCTCTCTGATTACAGACAGGGAAAGAATACTACTGCCTAACTAAGTCTGAGATTGACCAGGATTTACTTATTTCGTATTGGACAAAACTCAGTGCAGTATATGTAAAAAACTTATTAAAGTAGGAAGGAGTGAAGATGGATTATGTAATAGAATATTTTGACTTCTTTTAGAAAATGAGTCCATTAGCTACCACTTCCATGATATCAACTATAATAGTACTGTACTTCACCCACTACATTTGTTGTTGTTGTTAGGTGCCATTGAATTGGTGGCAACTCATAGCGACCTTATGCACAGCAGAACGAAACACTGCCCGATCCTGGGCCAACCTCACTATTGTTGCCATGCTTGAGCCCATTGATGCTGCCACTTGGCCAATCCATCTCATTGGGAGTTTTCCCCTTTTTCTCTGACCCTCCACCTTACCAAACATGATATCCTTTTCCAGTGACTGGTCCCTTCTAACAATATGGCCGAAGTATGAGAGACATATTTTGCCCAGCTTGGCCTCCAAGGACCACTCTGGCTGCTCTTCTTCCAACACAAATCTGTTGGTTCTATGCGCAGCCCATGGCACTTTCAATATTCTCCTCCAACCCCATAACTCAAATTCATCAATTCTTCTACGGTCTTCTTTATTCACTGTCCAGTTTTCGCATGCATATGAGCTTATTGAAAATACCATGGCTTGGGTAAGGCGCACCTTAGTCCTCAAGCTGGCATCTTTGCTCTTCAACACTTTAAAAAGGTCTTGTGCAGATTTTCCTAATGCAATACATGGTTTGATTTGTTGACTGCTGTTTCCATGAGTGTTGATAGTTGATCCAAGAAGAAAGAAGTCCTTGACAACTTCAATCTTTTCTCTGTTGAAAAGAATCTTGTTTAATGATTGAGTGGTGAGGATTTTTGTTTTCTTTACATGGAGAAGCAATCCATAATGAAAGTTGTGGTCTTTGATCTTCAGCAGTAAATGTTTTAAATCCTCTTCACTTTCAGCAAGCAAGGTTATATCATCAGCATATCACAAGTTGTTAATGAGTCTTCCTCCAATCCTAATGCTACATTTTTCTTCATATAGCCTAGCTTCTTGGATTATTTGCTCAGCATAGGTTGAATAACTATGGTGAAAGAATACAACCCTATTGTACACTTTTCTTAATTTTAAACCATCCAGTGTTCGTTCCCATGTTCTGTTCAAACAACTGCCTCTTGGTCAATGGACAGATACCTCATGAGCAGAATTAAGTGTACCAGAATACTCATACTTCACAATATTGTCCATAGCTTGTCATGATCCATACAATTAAAATCTCTGAATAGTCAATAAAGCACAGGTAAACATCTTTCTGATATTCTCTGCTTTCAGCCAAGATCCATCGGACACCAGCAATGATAGCCCTCGTTCCACAGCCCTTTCTGAATATGGCTTCAACCTCTGGAAGTTCTCTGTCAATGTACTTTTGCAGCTGTTTCTGTATTACCTTTAGTAAAACTTTACTCACATGGGATATTAAAGAGATTGTCCGATGATTCAGCATTCCGTTGGGTCACCTCACTTTGGAATGGGAAAAAATACAGATCTCTCCCCAATCAGTCGGCCAGATAGTTGTCTTCCAAATTTCTTGGCAGAGATGAGTGAGTGCCTCTTGTGCCACCTCACTTTCTTGAAAGATTTCCATTTTCATTCCATCAGTTCCTGGTGCCTTGTTCTTTGCCAGTTCCTTCAATGCACCTTGGATTTCTTCCTTCAGTATCATTGGTTCTTGATCATATGATACCTCTTCAAATGGTTAAACATCAGTCATTTCCTTTTGGTACATTTGACTCTCTGTATTCCTTCCATCTTCTCTTAATGCTTTCTGCATCATTCAGTAATTTTTCTAGAGAATCTTTCAATAATGAAAGTCAAGGCTTGAATTTTTCCTTCAGTTCCTCCAGCTTGAGAAATACTGAGTGTGTTCTTCCTTTTCGGTTTTCTGATTCCAGGTCTTTGCACATTTTGTTGTACTATTTGGCTTTATCTTCTTGAGCTGATCTTTGAAATTTTCTGTTCAGCTCTTGGACCTCCTCGTTTCTTCCATTTGCTTTAACATCACTGAAAGCAAGTTTCAGTGTCTCTTCTGACATCCATTTTGACCTTTTCCTTCTCTCTTGTCTTCTTAATGACTTTTTGCTTTCTTCAGGTATGATGTTCTTGATGTCATCCCACAACTCTTCTGGTCTTCGGTCTTTAGTGTTTAATGTATCAAATCTGTTCTTCAGATGATTTCTAAATTCAGGTGGGATATATTCAAGGTCATAAAAAAGTTAAATATGCTATCGTCAGACTTTTCTACATAATTTTATAGGAATTAAAATTATTATTACATTTATTCTCATTTCAATACCCAAATCAATGAAAAACCTTAATTATATCTTTTTACCCTCCACAGTTAATAGGGTTTATTAAGTAAGTTGTTAAGTACCATCGAGTCAGTTCTGACTCATAGCGACCCTGTATAGAGTTTCCAAGGAGCAGCTGGTGAGCCTGAACCACCAACCTTGCAGCTCAAATTGACTTTGCATGCCAGTGCATTAGCCCAGAGCACCACACCAGGAATCTATTAAGGAAGTTAACAGGCCATAATTCTTCTTTTAAAAATACATTTATACTGAGATGGTAATCATAGATCTATAAAGATTTACATTCAAGAATGCAGAATATTTTGTTGATTATTAAATGAAATATTAAAAGTCACCTACAGTATCTGGCAATAGACAACTGGAAAAATTACAGTATTTCACAAAAACATAATACTAAAATTAAGAGACTATCAGGAAAGTATGCTCTAGATAAAAGGTCAAGGGTTAGCGATACAACGTTTTGCTAGAACATCAGAAAGATCAAATATTGATCAAACATTCAATATACTGTATAAGAATCTTTTATGCCATTGGGAAAAGTCCATGAAGTCCATAATATATATTTAAGGGGGAAAGAATAAACTAAAGAACTCTTTTTTTTTACTTAAAAAACAGTACATGTTCAAATAAGAAAAAAAAAAAGAAAGCAAATGGTTATCTTTATGTTTTTAGATGGTGGGATTATATGTGGTTTTCCTGTTCTTTGTAGATTAAAAAAAAATGAAACAAAACAAATTTTCATTATTAGCATGTGTTGTTATTGTTGTTAAGTGCCATGGAGTTGGTTCTGACTCATAGTGATCCTGCATAGGGTTTCCAAAGAGTGGCTGCTGAGCTTGAACCACCAACCTTGCAGTTCAAACAGACTTTGCAGTTCAGTGCATTAACCCACAGCGCCACATCAGCACTCGTGTAGTGAATTATCTAATGACTCTTCTAGCCATAGTCTGTAACTCACACCAAAAACTGTTTTTGCTCTGCTGGATTTGTGTAAGAGAAGGTGGGGAAAGATATTGATAGGATGACAGGATTCAGCTGTGGACATTAGCAGAGTTTATTGTAATTGTAAAAACTTGCAACTCTAGCTTAAGTTTAAAATGAGACATCTCAGAAGTAGGAGGGGCAATGTCACTGCCATCAAGAACAGTGAGCCATGAGTGGAATGCATCTTTTGGACCCCGAGATATTTGTGCATTGAAACTCCTCAGCCCAGGGACAGAAAGCTATGAAACTGGCAGAGGCGCAGCAGCAGCAGAACTAAGACCTAGACTATAAGACAGAACAGTGGCTCTCCAGCACACTGAGCAAGTGAAGCTGAGTCACTTAGGGCAGGAAACTTCCTTGTAGAGTCAGTGCGGTGGGAGCAATGGGGGGGGCGGGGGGGGGGGGTTGGGGGCATATGGAACTAGAGTCGAGTAGCTTCAGGCTAAGGCTTATGGTGCAGTGGTGTGTTCTGTGATCATTTATCAGCAGCTGACTGCAACAACTGTGCCCTAAACATTTTCTGATCCTGTATTGTAATCTGTTAACTTCCCTATTAAATCCCTAACTATGAGTATGGTGTCTGAGTTCTGTGTGGCCATTGCAATGAATTATCAAACCAAATAGAAAAGCACGAAGTTTTATGGACAGTTGGTTTGATGCCATGATTTTTTTTCAGCAGGCACTGCTTTTATAATCACAACAAAAATTAACTATAAGGAAAAATGTTACATGATACCTAAGAACATGTATATTTTATACTTGCATCAGAAGGCTTCTCCTGGTTTATTTATTTGAGTTTTTTCTCAAGTAATTTTTAGTGCTTAAACAACCTCCAGTCCTCTTAGGAAGTATCTTCAGATCCAGACTACAATTCAAATCCTGCTTCTGGCATTTAATAATTGTATGACCTTAACCTCTATTCTCCCATGTAAAAATGAAGATATTACTAGTCTCCTAGGATTAATAAGAAATCAAATATGGTAGTGTAGCATTTAACACATAGTAAGGGTCCAGTAAATAACAGTATCCTTCATCTTCTCTTTCGGATGACAGATTAAAAATAACTACTATGTGTGCTATTCTTAGTCTGTCAGTTTATCCTACTGTGGTGACTTGTATGTTGCTGTGATGTTGGAAGGTATGCCATGGGCATTTTAAATACAAGCAGGGTCACCCATGTTAGACAGGTTTCATATGAACTTCCAGACAGAATAGGAAGAATGAGAAGTGAACTACTTCTGAATGTTTAGTTACTGAAAAACTTATGAATAGCAATGGAACTCAATCT